ATACCAAAAAGTCCACTCAAAATATGAGTGAAGTTTGGCATGGCTTAGCAAGGGTTTGATGATACCATCAAACCCGAGCCTTTTTACTGGCTTTGAGATTTGTGAAATAGCTAATTAGTAACCAATAACAAAACTTGTGTACATGAGTAATTATCTCAAGCTAGAGGCCATACTAAATGCAATAACAATTTCAAGCTGCTCTGTTTCACCATATTAACAATTTCAAACTGCTATGTTCCATTGGTCGCCAAGAGAGATTGCCAAAAATATACGCCAAGATAAAAAACAACGCCAAGAGGAAGAGACAGAGAAAGAGAAAGAGCGAGAGAGAGAGAGAGAGAGAGAGCTAACCTGGTCTGGTTCGCTGGTCGCCAAGAGAGATTGACTGGAGTCTGGATAGAGAGAATAAGGGAAGGGAAGCGACTGGACAGAGGGAAGGAGGGAGGCGGCTGGACCGAGGGAAGGAAAAAATGAAGTTAGGGTTTGGAAAAAACAATTATTAAATGCTTTATACAGTGGTGGGTCAATTCCGAGTTAAAACAGGTCAGCGGGTTCGTGTCAACCCGATTAAATATATGGGTCAATTTGGGTAAATTTGGGTTAAACGGGTTAAACCCGAACACGACCCATAAAAATTTTGTGTCATATANTGGCTTAGCAAGGGTTTGATGATACCATCAAACCCGAGCCTTTTTACTGGCTTTGAAATTTGTGAAATAGCTAATTAGTAACCAATAACAAAACTTGTGTACATGAGTAATTATCTCAAGCTAGAGGCCATACTAAATGCAATAACAATTTCAAGCTGCTCTGTTTCACCATATTAACAATTTCAAACTGCTATGTTCCATTGGTCGCCAAGAGAGATTGCCAAAAATATACGCCAAGATAAAAAACAACGCCAAGAGGAAGAGACAGAGAAAGAGAAAGAGCGAGAGAGAGAGAGAGAGAGAGAGCTAACCTGGTCTGGTTCGCTGGTCGCCAAGAGAGATTGACTGGAGTCTGGATAGAGAGAATAAGGGAAGGGAAGCGACTGGACAGAGGGAAGGAGGGAGGCGGCTGGACCGAGGGAAGGAAAAAATGAAGTTAGGGTTTGGAAAAAACAATTATTAAATGCTTTATACAGTGGTGGGTCAATTCCGAGTTAAAACAGGTCAGCGGGTTCGTGTCAACCCGATTAAATATATGGGTCAATTTGGGTAAATTTGGGTTAAACGGGTTAAACCCGAACACGACCCATAAAAATTTTGTGTCATATACGGGTCGTGTCAAAAAATTAGTCAACTCAAACTCATTTATTCGTATCGTGTTTCGTATCGAATTATCGTATCGTGTCAAAAATTGTCACCCCTAATTTCAAGTGTCCAAATTATTCCCGGAACTTAGAACAAGAAAAGATGCATGCGATAGCCAATTATCAACCAAAAGAGAAAGAGATGAATCGTTATAAATCAAAATGGTTAATGTTCACTCTTGATAATATAAGAAAAAGAACAAGAATCGAATATAGGTTTGTTTCCTAGTTACGCAGACTAGAATCTATTGAAGAAATTTCAAAATTTAAAACATTTATTTATGATAGTTTTAATATTTTGAAAACTCTTTTGTAGAAAAGAAAATAAGTAGTCCACCAAATATGTATTTATCTCCGACATCCATTTTTTATTTAGGAGGAATATTATTTTATACCTTAAAAAATTTAAATTTTTTATTTTATATCCTCCAAGATGATATTTATCACATTAAACCCTCAATTTTTGTACCTTCTGTTAACTTTTGTTCTTTTTTCATTTAAAATTCACTTTATTAGCGTTGGTCAAATGAACAATGGAAGTTAATGAAGGATCACATTATAATATTTTTAATATATTGAACATATAATATAAAAAATTTAATCTTTAAAAATAAAAAATAATTTTTTTTAATACAAAATAAAATTCCTTTTATTTATTTACATAGAAAAAAATCCAAAACAANGAGTAATTATCTCAAGCTAGAGGCCATACTAAATGCAATAACAATTTCAAGCTGCTTTGTTTCACCATATTAACAATTTCAAACTGCTTTGTTCCATTGGTCGCCAAGAGAGATCGCCAAAAATATACGCCAAGATAAAAAACAACGCCAAGAGGAAGAGACAGAGAAAGAGAAAGAGCGAGAGAGAGAGAGAGAGAGCTAACCTGGTCTGGTTCGCTGGTCGCCAAGAGAGATCGACTGGAGTCTGGATAGAGAGAATGAGGGAAGGGAAGCGACTGGACAGAGGGAAGGAGGGAGGCGGCTGGACAGAGGGAAGGAAAAAATGAAGTTAGGGTTTGGAAAAAACAATTAAATGCTTTATATAGTGGTGGGTCAATTCCGAGTTAAAACAGGTCAGCGGGTTCGTGTCAACCCGATTAAATATATGGGTCAATTTGGGTTAAATGGGTTAAACCCGAACACGACCCATAAAAATTTTGTGTCATATACGGGTCGTGTCAAAAAATTAGTCAATTCAAACCCATTTATTCGTATCGTGTTTCGTATTGAATTATCGTATCGTGTCAAAAATTGCCACCCCTAATTTCAAGTGCCCAAATTATTCCCGAAACTTAGAACAAGAAAAGATGCATGCGATAGCCAATTATCAACCAAAAGAGAAAGAGATAGAGATGAATCGTTATAAATCAAAATGGTTAATGTTCACTCTTGATAATATAAGAAAAAGAACAAGAATCGAATATAGGTTTGTTTCCTAGTTACGCAGACTAGAATCTATTGAAGAAATTTCAAAATTTAAAACATTTATTTATGATAGTTTTAATATTTTGAAAACTCTTTTGTAGAAAAGAAAATAAGTAGTCCACCAAATATGTATTTATCTCCGACATCCATTTTTTATTTAGGAGGAATATTATTTTATACCTTAAAAAATTTAAATTTTTTATTTTATATCCTCCAAGATGATATTTATCACATTAAACCCTCAATTTTTGTACCTTCTGTTAACTTTTGTTCTTTTTTCATTCAAAATTCACTTTATTAGCGTTGGTCAAATGAACAATGGAAGTTAATGAAGGATCACATTATAATATTTTTAATATATTGAACATATAATATAAAAAATTTAATCTTTAAAAATAAAAAATAATTTTTTTTAATACAAAATAAAATTCCTTTTATTTATTTACATAGAAAAAAATCCAAAACAAAAAGTGAACCAAACAACAGCTTGAAACTTCCAAACCTTCCCTCCTTTCTCACTCACCCTCTCAAAATCTTCCATTCAAACTTGAAGTTCTCTCTTTCTCTCTCTGTGGGGANAATAATACAGACCACTGGAATACTGCAATCAGGGTGAGTGTACGGCTACTGAAATAAGTGAAAAAATATATATATTTAATACAATGGTGATACCATCCCACACCCTACAATAGGAAAATGAACAAGTCAATCCCACGATAATTACTAAATCTAAAAGAATAAGGTGTATATGGATTGAAATTATTAGAGAGTTCAATGGGAACATAAATTAATTTTAGTATCCATGTTCACCTTATCCTGTTAGAGATCAACATCGAGATCCCGAGAGTCCTGGAAAGAGAATACCAAAAAGTCCACTCAAAATATGAGTGAAGTTTGGCATGGCTTAGCAAGGGTTTGATGATACCATCAAACCCGAGCCTTTTTACTGGCTTTGAAATTTGTGAAATAGCTAATTAGTAACCAATAACAAAATTTGTGTACATGAGTAATTATCTCAAGCTAGAGGCCATACTAAATGCAATAACAATTTCAAGCTGCTTTGTTTCACCATATTAACAATTTCAAACTGCTTTGTTCCATTGGTCGCCAAGAGAGATCGCCAAAAATATACGCCAAGATAAAAAACAACGCCAAGAGGAAGAGACAGAGAAAGAGAAAGAGCGAGAGAGAGAGAGAGAGAGCTAACCTGGTCTGGTTCGCTGGTCGCCAAGAGAGATCGACTGGAGTCTGGATAGAGAGAATGAGGGAAGGGAAGCGACTGGACAGAGGGAAGGAGGGAGGCGGCTGGACAGAGGGAAGGAAAAAATGAAGTTAGGGTTTGGAAAAAACAATTAAATGCTTTATATAGTGGTGGGTCAATTCCGAGTTAAAACAGGTCAGCGGGTTCGTGTCAACCCGATTAAATATATGGGTCAATTTGGGTTAAATGGGTTAAACCCGAACACGACCCATAAAAATTTTGTGTCATATACGGGTCGTGTCAAAAAATTAGTCAATTCAAACCCATTTATTCGTATCGTGTTTCGTATTGAATTATCGTATCGTGTCAAAAATTGCCACCCCTAATTTCAAGTGCCCAAATTATTCCCGAAACTTAGAACAAGAAAAGATGCATGCGATAGCCAATTATCAACCAAAAGAGAAAGAGATAGAGATGAATCGTTATAAATCAAAATGGTTAATGTTCACTCTTGATAATATAAGAAAAAGAACAAGAATCGAATATAGGTTTGTTTCCTAGTTACGCAGACTAGAATCTATTGAAGAAATTTCAAAATTTAAAACATTTATTTATGATAGTTTTAATATTTTGAAAACTCTTTTGTAGAAAAGAAAATAAGTAGTCCACCAAATATGTATTTATCTCCGACATCCATTTTTTATTTAGGAGGAATATTATTTTATACCTTAAAAAATTTAAATTTTTTATTTTATATCCTCCAAGATGATATTTATCACATTAAACCCTCAATTTTTGTACCTTCTGTTAACTTTTGTTCTTTTTTCATTTAAAATTCACTTTATTAGCGTTGGTCAAATGAACAATGGAAGTTAATGAAGGATCACATTATAATATTTTTAATATATTGAACATATAATATAAAAAATTTAATCTTTAAAAATAAAAAATAATTTTTTTTAATACAAAATAAAATTCCTTTTATTTATTTACATAGAAAAAAATCCAAAACAAAAAGTGAACCAAACAACAGCTTGAAACTTCCAAACCTTCCCTCCTTTCTCACTCTCCCTCTCAAAATCTTCCATTCAAACTTGAAGTTCTCTCTTTCTCTCTCTGTGGGCACGAAAAAACTCCAGTCTCTCTTTCTCTGTATTCTCAAACCATCTCCGAACAATGGAGGAAGAAGAAGCCATGACGCTGAAGCTAATAATGGAGGGAGGCCCTCTGGCTGGTGAAACCCTAGAATTCAAACCAGGTCGCAAGGTCCAAATCGGCCGGACCGTCCGAGGCAACACTGTATCGATCAAAGACGCCGGGATTTCTACTCATCACTTCTCCATCCAATTTACTGATCATTCAGATGAAGATAACAAAACGAAGTCAAAGAAGCCTGGTAAATGGGTCATCACCGACCTAAATTCCTCAAACGGCACTATTTTGAACAGTGAAATGATCCCTCCCATGGTCCCTACCGATCTTGGTGACGGTGACATTGTTAAGATCGGGGAGGTCACTTCGATCCAGGTCAAGGTTGGAGAGATTGTAAGTGATTATGCTAAAAATCAGGTGCGACGAAACCCCAGAAGGAGAGGTACAGTGAATACTGTGGGTGGTGTTGTACGAGATCAAAGGCGGAGAGGCGGTGCAAAAGCTAATTTGGATTCAATTGATGAAAATAGTGAGTTGAGGTTGGAGTTTGTCGGAGAATTGGGGAAAACTCTGGAGGAGAATAAGAAGCGGCGAGGACTGCCAAGAAAAGCTAGAGTTTTTGAAAATGAGGTTCAACAGAGTGAAATTAAGGTTGAAATTTTGGAAGAAATGGAGAATGTGGTTCCGAATGAAGCGAAAAGGGGTCGGCAAGTCAAGACGAGGAGTTCAAACAATAAGATTAGAGTGGATGAGGTTGAAAACAATGGAGATATGGACCAGGTGGCTCCAACTGAGGCGAAATCAGGATGTCAAGTGAGTTCTTGTAGGAGTGGGAGTTCGAAGGTGGAAAATTTGGGTTCTGGTCTGATGATTGGGGGACTTCCAGAGAATGAAATGCAAGAGAGTGAAATTGGGGTTGCAATGGAGGGAAAAGTGGACAATGTTATGGTTGAGGTGAAATTGGAGAAGCGAGTGAGTACAAGGAGGACACGGAGTTCAAAGAAGCAAGAAGCTATGAATTTAAATGTGGATGGAAGTCATTGCAGGGAATTCACCAATTTGGTACCGACTGAAGGTAAAAAGACAGGTAGGGGTAGGAGAGGGAAGAAGAATTTACAGGATGAGAAAATAGTGAGCATGGAAAATGCAGTTTCGAATGAGAAAGAGGTTGTGGAAGAGTCAAATAAGGGGCTTGTGGAAGAGTGCAGTATGGGGCCAGATAAAGGCAAAGAAGCTAAACACGGTTTATCGAATGAGCTGTTAGGAGTTCATGTTGATGTTCTGGAAGATGAAGGAGATGGTGAGTTGAATTTGGGTGAAGTAGGTTGTGAGAGATTGGCGACTGCACCTAGCATGAAGGGGAGTAGTTTGGGGGGCAAGGAGGTGCCCAATTTGGAGACAATGACACTTGGGGAGTGGTTTGACTATTTAGAGGTGTACTTACCGAAACAAATACATGTAGAGACTGAAGAGTTGATTTTGGGAATGAAACAGAGAGCTGAGCAGTTCCATGAATTTATTTTGCACCAGAAAAATGGAAAGGGAAAACTACCTATGGGCTAGACGGGGACTATGAGGAGCACTTCAAACTTTTTGGTAATGATTAACTGAATCATTCATCTTCTAATGTTTTATACTGAATATGAATGTACTAATACATATGTAATGTGCTGTGTATTTGTTCATATATATAATTCAACTCTTAATTGCATCCTTTAACATGCTAACTATGAGCTAGGTTCTTCGTGGATTGGTACTTGTTTTTACAAACTGCTAGTTAATGGGTCATGGTTTACTATCAACATGTTAAATGCTGCCACATCTGAAGTTTCTTGAACTGTTATCAACTTTGATACTTAAAGATCTTCTTGGGTGGGGACTAATATCATATGCATTTGTGAGCAAGGATGGTGTTTCTATTGTCCATGATTGATGCTAGAATTTTAAACTTCAAATTTTAGAAAATATATGGTTTCTGCTGCCATGAAACTTACATTTAATTTAATTTATTTGTGGTGATAGAGCTATATGGAGCAAGAGTTGACATTCTGTTGCGTATAGAGTGGAAAATGTTGAATTTGGGTGTTCTCTCTCTTTGAACATGTTCTCTGTCGTCCCATTTTGTTGTATTATAGAGACATAAATGTGGCTCCTAGATGACTTTAGAACTTGTTGAGGATGTGATGGGACTCGCCGGATGTTTAAATGAACACTATTGCTTGAGATATAAATACTCGATCATCAAATTACAATTTTTGACCAATAGTCTTGAGGTTGTGGCCCTTGTGGGTTCAAACTTGAAGGTTACCGTATACAAAGTCAAAAGTCTTTTGACTTATGATGTATTACTGAAGGAAAATTAAATTATTTTTCTAATTTATGTCTGAGTTGATATATTCATCCCTAGGTATCAATCAACAACTTATAAGCTTCATTCCTAATAACATGACTTGCAGTTATAGTTATAGCTATAGATTTCAGTTGTGAGTTATCAAACATCCCTTTACTTATAGTTAAGTTTTAACAACCTGCATTTAAAAAATCTTAAGAACATCATACAATTAGAAGAAGTGCTGGATGGTTATATGGAAAATGAACTGTTGCCTCTTCCTCTGAATGGAAATAGCATTTGAAAGGTATCTCTAAAAAATGTTTTTTGCTAGCTTCAATCTCTGATGTAAAATTTTGATTGCATTAAAAAGCATACTTTAGTGGCAAATATATTGACTGTTATACTGAAGTGCTATATTTTTTTCAAGTTATTATCTATTTTTCAGTTTGTTTGGTAGTTGTCTACGTTATTTTTTAAGTTTTATCTATAAGCTCTTCTTCCCCTTTCCTGACGCATTTAAACCAAAAAAGTACCAANTGCTATATTTTTTTCAAGTTATTATCTATTTTTCAGTTTGTTTGGTAGTTGTCTACATTATTTTTTAAGTTTTATCTATAAGCTCTTCTTCCCCTTTCCTGACGCATTTAAACCAAAAAAGTACCAAAAAGAAAAGAACTCTGACAAGTTAATTTGGACCTAATGGTTTGGTGATTTTCATAGGTACTTATATCATCTGAGCTGACACAAGCTTGACATGATCAAGATTACAAGACCTGATGCCATCCAATTTCTAGTCTTATAGCTTTTAATTTGTGGCTTTGTTTCAAATCTTAAACGTATAAAGTAACTGATTGTCCTCTCCAGAGTTTTGTGGAATGTCAGTGCCACGAAATGGACTTCAAAAGAGGGGCTCTATTGTGCCTGGGGAGAACCATTAGAATCAGAAGATTGATTTTGATCAATGGAGTGCACCTGCTTTGCACAGGGAATTTTGCTTCCCTATTCGGGCTTTAGGATTGAAAAGCTGATCAGCAAAAGCTGTCGATGCCCAGTTTCATATTAGCTCATAATCTTGTAGCTTACATGACTTCTGCCTCGTATCGTCACTTTAGTTGTATTATCCAAATTCGTAAATATTGCTAGCAATTGTTCCTCAAGTGATGTTATATTTATAGAGTGAATTGGAGCCTTGATCGAATTATAGATGATGCCTGATCTATTTCTCTGCAGAATGAATGTTGAAATGTAATCCATTCTTTGTGTGATGTGTTTATCTCTGTGCTCATGGATGATAGAAAAGAGATAGTCATCTTGTTTGGGTAGTACATGTAATGGAACTCAATAACAACATATATTTGTCTTTCAATTAGAAACAAGTGAGGTAAGGATTATGATCAATGAGGTTATAGTTGTAATTTGACTTGATTTGATTAGAACCCTTGTATGACACGAAAAATAACTTCTTCGCTCCTTCAAAAAACTTAATTGTAGATAGGGCTGTTGGTACCTAGTCATCATTCAAAATCAACTTAGCAACGAATGCTACACATGGTTTATATATTAGTTTGGCAGCCATGTTACATTTTACTTGTACATCTGACATGGTTTATACATAGTCTACTTATGGCATGAGTAAAGAGAGAATTAATTAAAATTGAACTAGGAAATCTTGCTAAAAATCCTTTCAAACTCTAATTTGGGTGAAAACACAAAATTAGTAAACAATGAGTGGTGCAGTGGTGGTGAACACTACTTTGAAGATGGCACCATACTCTTACTGGGAAAAAGATAGACTGCCACCTTTTCAAAACTCTCATCGTGGATTGTAGATACATTATGGGCATGTTTTCTTTGCGGTATTAGATTTGGATGGTATTAGAAATCATTTTTATTCCACTCTTATCCAATGGTATACTATACTCGGTCTTAAACTTATATCTCATTATTTTCCTTGTTTGTTTGTTCAATAGGTACTATAGTGGGTCTCACAAACAACTATCTATTCTGTCACATCTTATATAACAAATATACTATTTTACCTTAAACATCTTCTATTCCATTTTACCCTTAACCATCTATACGAGGAAAATATTTAAAATAATTTTTAAAAAANCTTATATAACAAATATACTATTTTACCTTAAACATCTTCTATTCCATTTTACCCTTAACCATCTATACGAGGAAAATATTTAAAATAATTTTTAAAAAAATTTTAAAAAAAAAAATCAGTAACAACATACGCTTAAACATAATATAAGGAAAAAATTCAAAATAATTTTTTTTAAAAAAATTAAAAAAAAAAATCGGTAACACCGTACGCTTAAACATAATACAAAAAAAAATTCAAAATAATTTTTAAAAAAAGAATTAAAAAAAATGATAATACCATACGTTTAAACATAATGTAAAGAAAAATTTCAAAATAATTTTTTAAAACAAAAATCGGTTACTTTTAAACTTAATTCTCAAATCCAGTCATTTTTAAACTTAATTCCCAACCCAGTCTTTTTTTAAAAACGTCATTTGAAATGACGTCTTCTCACCTAAAAACGTCATTTGAAATAACGTTTTTGAAGTTTAAATTTTTTCTCTGAAAACGTTATTTGTAATGACGTTTTTAAAGTCATCATTCAGAATGATGTTTTTGAACATAATTTTTTTAAACGACAGTAACAGGCTTTAAAAAATTACAAAAGGATGAAAACCTCGTGACGTTTTTAAAAACGTTATTTAAAATGACGTTTATAAAAATTTAGGGGTTGAAAACGTTATTTAAGAAAACGTAGGTAAATGTTTTAAAAATTTTTACCCTCTGTCAATCCAGTCGGTCTCTCATCTCTCACATATCGGTCCTCCCTCCTCCTCCTCCAACCAGTCAGCCCGTCTCAGATCGATCGATCGATCGATCTCTCCTCCTCCTCCGCCTGCAACCACCGTCTTTCCCGACGAGACCAGACGACTCAGCCCCTGTTCAACTCTATTAGCTGCGGCTGGGGTTTCAGACCAGACACAAATTTAGTGGTATGGACTCTCGGTGATTTTGTTTACCATCCCTTATTAACTTAATGTTTGTATTGTGATTTCAACAGAGACATTGGTGCAAGGAATCTGAAATTCGTGTTAGTATAAAACCAAGAATTTTAGGCTGCATTTGGTGATGCTTTGAAAAATTAATTGCAGGTAATAATCTTAAAAGAATTTATCAAAACAAGTCAAAGTTGTGTCTAGAAATACTTTTAACTATCTACTAATAAGCTAGTGATGGTTCTTTTGTTTAGGTGGTCAAATAATTATGAAAAATGAATGAAAGAAAAGAACAAAGAAAAACAATGATAAGAAATGAACTGAGAACAACAAAGGAAAGAAAAGGAAAAAGGAGGGGGGCTTCTCTCTGTTTTTTTTTTTTATTAGAAACATGAGGTTGAACAATTTTGTCAATTGCCATTACCTGAGGGACTAAGATCAACGGTTTATCGTCACAATGACATTAGCTCGCCTACACATTGTAGTGCTTACTGTTTAGGGCTGTTGGAATAATGTTATAGTAATATGCTTTTGTGTGTACAAAAGTTGAATTCTTCAAGGGATTGTTTAAATTCTTAACTAGCAAAATATAATATTAGATGGATATATTAAATGAATTTTTGGATGTTGTTTCACTGTGTTTGATATTGATGTTGCTGGGATGAGAGGATATTCTGTTGTGATGCTATGTTGCAGCTGTATTGCAAGGGTGTGATGGTTCAGTTTATGATGGATTCAGATGTGTAGTTTAAATTGGTTTTAATCATTGAAGGATTAAAGCCAACTCTGCATTTAAAATTTTCTGAGGTGTTATTGGGTTGGAAACTGAGAAGTTGCTGTTCAGTTTAGTGGATGAATGTAATGCTGATTGAAGCAGGTTGCAGCATTTTGAATGTTGGCTTTCCTGAAGTTGGTAATGATGGTTTTCCTGGGGTACTGAATTTTGTTTTTCCAGCTGGTATAGTAGTTACAGCAGGCATACAGCTTGATGGTTGTTGTTTGTATTGGAGAGGAGCTTGTGTTGTCTGTTGGTTGTGCTTGTGCTTTCCTTATGATGTATGAATTTTTTCTGTCAGGCCCAAGAGATGGACAAAAGGAAAGAGGGGAAGCCTGGTAATGAATGAAACCTGTGGACATCAATCCAAATGATGAATGTATAAATGTAAGCAACTACTCCTCAAATAATTCATTTGATCTGAGGCATCAGTCCATTTCAAATGAAAATCACCATATGCTTTGTGCTTTTAACGATCCAATCATATTTCTGGTACTTACTCATTTTTCTAGCAGTTCTTTTTTCTGAAACTTTTTACATACTCTCCTACAGATGGCAATGGCTGGGAGAAGATGTTCCTAATCCGTGGCTAAAAATTGGCACACCCCATTTTACATTTATGTTGTAGAGGGGCTTCACAAATAGCATGGTGATGCACAAATAGCAGCAGCAGCAATGTCCGATTTGGGGCTTGCTTCCAATTTTGTTGTTGCCTCTTAGCAGATCATAATGTCCGATTATTTCTGCTTCTTTGCTAAATAGACTCTAGCATGGTTGCGTGAGTTGAGAGCACATTGCTGTAAATTATGGTCGTGATTGATACTTTTTATTTTTCCGACCTCTGTTAATTTAAAATTGGGTTAATGCTGTTCAATTAAGCTTGTGTTCTGAATAACCTGCCTCATTTGTTGGCCATTATATGAAAGAATAACCTTCTCACTTCATGTTTACTTAGATCTTTCATTGTACAATATTTGAAGTCGAGAAAGAAATGAATTTCATGAAAAGTAAGAGTAGTATATTGCTTGAGGCAACATCTACAGGGCTGAACCACACTACGGACACAGTTTGCTCCACCAATGACTGGCAATGAAAAGAGGGGCTAGAAATGGCAGAACATATGAACCAACTCGACAACTCGAAAAATGACTGGCAGAACATATGAACTCACTCAATTCAACTCGACAAATCTGCAAAGAAGCCATTATGTATTGAAAAGATTTCCATTTCATATTCACAATTTTCGGCATTTCAGAGATACACAAAATTTCCATGCCTTCTGCAACAGAGGTATTGCAACTATATTGCACATATGTTCTTTGATGATAACCAGTGCTTCTTGTAGCTTCAAAGTCGTCACTGAACTCTTCCACCTAAAAAAAAATAGCAAACCAAAAAATGACTAATAAATGCGATAAATTTGTGGGTATTAACTTATAAAATATCAGTTCCATAATGGATTGATGGATAGCCACAAAAAATAGCATTGCAGTAAACATCACAAATTAAATTTAGCAAGACCAAGAAGCAAACCTCTGCAACTTGCGTGGGCTCACAATTGTAACAATTTCATAATTCAAAGGAGGAACTCATTGAAAATTCAATTATAATTACTGGTTCCACAAATAAGACCAAACAACTAGTAACCTTTCTGTCACAATTTGAATCACCAAAACAAACCAAAAGAATCATATAGCTCAGATCATATAATAAATTGACAACCCAAAAAACCAAACTACATATACAGTCAACAACTTAGTCTATATATACGACTCAATCCCTCATTGTCAGTTTTCTGGGTAGTCAAAATTGGAGTTTTTAAAGAGAGAAAAACTGACAGAATTCAATAAACCCAGATCAAATCACAATTCTTGATTAAACATATACGCAAAGACAACATTCCTTTTTTTATATGAACACTACAGGTCTGAGAGGGTAAATAGTTAAAAGTATTTCTAGACACAACTTTGACTTGTTTTGATAAATTCTTTTAAGATTATTACCTGCAATTAATTTTTCAAAGCATCACCAAATGCAGCCTAAGATTCTTGGTTTTATACTAACACGAATTTCAGATTCCTTGCACCAATGTCTCTGTTGAAATCACAATACAAACATTAAGTTAATAAGGGATGGTAAACAAAATCACCGAGAGTCCATACCACTAAATTTGTGTCTGGTCTGAAACCCCAGCCGCAGCTAATAGAGTTGAACAGGGGCTGAGTCGTCTGGTCTCGTCGGGAAAGACGGTGGTTGCAGGCGGAGGAGGAGGAGAGATCGATCGATCGATCGATCTGAGACGGGCTGACTGGTTGGAGGAGGAGGAGGGAGGACCGATATGTGAGAGATGAGAGACCGACTGGATTGACAGAGGGTAAAATTTTTTAAAACATTTACCTACGTTTTCTTAAATAACGTTTTCAACCCCTAAATTTTTATAAACGTCATTTTAAATAACCTTTTTAAAAACGTCACGA